GGGCCAAGTCCATTTTTATGCACAATGAGAAAGTCCGTATGAACTGGTGATACTAGACTGCTTTCTTTGAGCAAAATTTTATCTCTCCTGATTCATCTTCACTTTGCTGTTTCAAAATTCATGGCTGGGGGTATAAATCTGCAACCTGGTATTAAATTTATTAAAAATGTTCCAGAAGTTCAGGGTTGATTTGTAGGGGGCTCTCTGAGACCATCTGAGAATAAAGGAGCAAATCTATACCTCAAAGGAGACCTGTCTACTGCTGAAACGATTTTCTGCTGTGGATTCAAGCCATGGTCTCCACACGTGGATACTTTGGGCCTTTGTCTAATTCTTCAAATCTTTATAGAATATTTAATCAAAGGGCACTCTGTGGACTTGAGAAGGATTGGGCTGTGGGACAATAAACAACCTCTCTGTGCTGCAGTCCAAGGCAGTCCTCTGTGCAGGGCCAACCACCCAGGGCTGGCCTCGGCCCGCTGGGGCCTCTCAGGGATTCCAGATGAGTCAAGACAAGCACCACCTCTGCCAGCCTCCTGGGAGACGGCTTCTATTTCGGACTCGTCCATGTTCCCTAGATCTGTAGAGAATAGAGTCGAGAAAGGTGGTGGAGGGGGACTGAAAAGCTGCCTGAGCCAACCCCGAAGAAGAGGACAGACCCAGTGAGCATAGCAGTTGCTGGAAGCTTGGTGCCGCAAGCCGCGCAATCTGCCATCCCCGTTTGTTGATCTCGCATGCCATCCTTCAGTTGGCACCATGGCTGCCAGGAACCACCCCCTCCTTTTTCCATCCGAAGGCAGGGAAAGAGGCATTGTGGCAGAGTTAACTCTTCCTGCCCCGAAGTCTAGAGTTTCTCCTTCCCCAGTCCCCCTGCCCCAAGTGGGGGGTTGGGAGGTTGGTAATCTGTGCCATGTTAGGATCCACACAGATATTAGAATCGAAGAATTTTAGAAGTCAAATGGGCCGAGGGAATTTTTCCGAAGAAGAAAAGCAGCACTTCTTCGCCCCTAGATTGGACCGCACACGGCAGGGGCTGGAGGGCACCTGAATTTGGAAGGACAGTGATCTCTAAGGAAAGCTGCCTTTTTCTCCGGCCTGGGATGATCTGGGCCAAACACTCCTGACAAGTCAGCAAGGACGGTAGAGTTGGCATAGGCCAGAGACACCTGCTGCGGTCTACGAAGGAGGAAAACACACACAGGGAGGCAGAGGTGAAGAAGCAAGTCCTGGGAAGGGGGTGGCGGGGAGGGAAGAAATAATCCGGCATCCTTCCCAAGGCAGCTGTGACATTTTACAGGCTAAACCGAGTAGCCTGATGTGACTTAGCAGAAAGAATACCACTCCTTTTTCCATGTTTTGTAAGAAGTCATTGAAAATCACATAGAAGCCCTTTCCTGTTTTGCTTATCATGCTTCTGAGGAGGTGGGAGAGGGGCGCAACCTGGGACCCAGCGTGAGGTCCGGAAATGTCAACAGGGCTGCCCTGGGGTGTGTGCGGGAGGGACTACCTGGACTGCGGAGCGTGGGAACAGCACTGTTCAGGGGAAAGGGCCACAAGCTATCCCTGTTAATGAACTAATTTGTATATCTGAATGCTTGGAACAGTGCCCGGCCCATCATACATGCCCTGGGTTCACTACTGCCGCTGTTACCACCACGACAGCTGACTACTGTTAAGTTTCCGGAGGCAGAACTCACGTGGCGGGTCTTTACTCAGAAATCGTACCTCAAAGTTGATGCGAAAAGCTCCTCTTCCTCAGCTTAGGAAGCATAAAACGGAATAGCCTGGAGGAACCTAATTCTCAGAAATACCCTCTGTCCTGTTGGGAAAATGTCCTGCTTTTCCACTGGATGTGGCCAGGGCGCAGGGGTGCTTTCCTTCCAGAACCCAGGGAGGAGCCTCTGCTCCTAGGAGTGATGTGCAGCAGCCACTGGTTGTATGTGCGGAGACGGATGTTGCAAGGGAACTGTGTGTGCTTGTGTGAGATGTAGGACCCACAGACTTCAGATTTTTCAGGGAACCATCTGGTGATCAGAGACCGACAAAGGGACCCCAGTTCCCAGGGAGGGGACTGTCCCAGGTCCTCTTTCTCAAGACCCGCTCCTTTCCACTGACCAAGCCGCCCCAGCCTCCCCTCCAGAGAGCCGTATTTTGAAATTACCTCCAACAGATCTGAATTCAACCTTACCCCATAGATGTTAGCCTCATCCTCGCAAATGGATTAGAACCTCTTCAGAGCCCCTTGTCCCATTTTTTTCCTGGGAGTGTATCCTCCCAGGCGCTCAGCATGGAGAGGTATCTAGGGACTGGCATTCAGGTCCTGGTGGCCCAGGAGTAGGTTCTCCCCACCGGATGACTGGCTGCTGTAGGTTGCCTGCCGAGCAGAAGTTTTTCCCAGTGTGAAGTCTCCTGGACCAGCTCCAGTTCTTGCTGGCGTGTTAGCCTTCGACTTTCTTCATGTTGACAAATGGTTCCCAGCTGCACAAGCCGCGGCCTCGCCTCTCCTCGGCCAGTGCCAGGGAAAACTTTTCTTTCAAAAACAAGCAGGAACAAGTTGGTGTTGGCCAAGTCACCCCAGGCAATTCCAGAAGTCTTGTCCTTTGTCTGCCACACGTGGTCCCTGCGCTCCGCTCTCTGCCACACGTGGCCCTGCGCTGCCCACCCCCCAACCCTCAGGTCCCACCTAGACCTGGCTCCCCGATTAAAACAGGTCTAGGCCTCTGCCCTTCGTCCCTCGTGGTTGAGGCTGCTAATTACTACAGATCTGATAAACAAAGCTGGGTTTACTGGGAATCCCTCCTGGTGACGTATTTGCATTTTATTTTTATTTTACTTTTTTAAAAAATTGTATTTACTTATTTGAGAGACAGAGAGCACACACAAGCAGGGAAGGAGCAGAGGAGAAGGACAAGCTGACTCCAAGCTGAGTGCAGAGCCCAGCTTGGGGCTAGAACTCACAACCCTGAGGTCATGACCTAAGCCAAAAGCAAGAGGAGTCTTAAGGGGCTGAGCTACCCAGGCACCCCACATATTTGCTTTTTTTTTTTTTTTTAAGATTTTTTTGTGTATTTGAGACACAGTGAGAGAGGGAACACAAGCAGGGGGAGTGGGAGAAGGAGAAGCAGGCTTCCCACTGAGTGGGGAGCCAGACATGGGGCTCGATGTAGGGCTCAATCCCAGGACCCTGGGACCATGACCTGAGCAGAAGGCAGAGGCTTAACGACTGAGCCACCCAGGCGCCCCACATTTGCATTTTATAAGGAGATAATTTCTTAACTGCTCTGCAAAAGGCTAGGCAAAGGAGGACCTTAACAGGATAGGCCCTGTGGGAGTCAGGGCTTGGCTATAGAAAGGACTCCAGGTCAGGGGAATCCTGGGTTCAAATCCTAACTCACTCCTCACAGCTTCTACAAACCCCAGTTTCTGTCAGATTACACAGCGCCTGGCACCCTGATAGCATCCAAATCGGTGAGAGCCCCTCCATGAGTGTCTCTTCAAAGTCCCTTCCTGGGGTCCCTGCATGGCTCTGTTGGTTAAGCATCTGCCTTCAGTTCAGGTTATGATCCCAGGGTCCTGGGATCGAGCCCCGAGCCCCACATCAGGCTCCCTGCTCAGTAAGGCTTCTGCTTCTCCCTCATCCTCTCCCTCCCCCTAGCTCGTGCACTCTCTCTCTCTCAAGTAAATAAATATAATCTTAAAAAAAAAATAAAGTCTCTTCCTCCCAGAGGAATTCCCTCACCATCCACGGGTAGCTGGGAGGCCAACTGTATTCCGTCATCTGTCTGTTATTGTAGAATTAAGAACATAATTGTTTTTGTATCCTGTTCAGTTGTAAATTGCTCTCAGCTTGGGATTTTTAGAAACATTTATTGTGAAATATAGCTGACTTGCAGAAAAGTGCATGAAACACACATGTACCATTTAGCAAATTGTGATAAAGGCGTTGCCCACGTCACCACTACCCTGGTCAAAGACGAGAAGTACTGCTTTAAAGTGGAACATTTATGACACAGTGATTCTCAGCTGGGGGTCACTTTGCCCCCAGCGGACATTTAAACCTTTTTGGTTGTGGGGGCGCCTGGCTGGCACAGTTCGTAGAGCGTGCAGTTCTTGATCTTGGTGTCGTGAGTTCAAGCCCCGCGTTGGGCGTGAAGCCTGCTTAAAACAATGGTTAACCCTTCTTGGTTGTGATGTCAATGGAGGCACTACTGGCATCTCTAGTAGGGGCCGGGATGCCGGCTGATAAACACAGCCCCCACAGAAAAGATTCTCCTGCCCCCCGAAGTCTGCAGAGCCTGGGTTGGGGAAGCCTGATGCAACACAATCTGATGAACCGTTGTGCAAAACATCCGGTTTCTGGAAACACAGTGCTTCCCTAGGAGGTGACCTCTTAGTGAACGATGTAGGTGCTCAAGAAAGCTGTTAGTGTCAATACTTATACCTAACGTGTTATCAGTGATCCCATCCCACTCAACTAACTGTTCTCTGGGGGATTTAAAAAAAAAAAAAAAAAAAAAGGCCAGCCAGAATTTCAGATGAAGGATCTGAAGTTAATAGCCCCTGCTAAGTACGTCCCTCAGTTTGTAGTCTCTCACTGTGGCCAAATGCTTTTAATCTCCCCTGTCGATATGCACCGATCTTGGGAATCAAATACTAGACACGTTAGGAGAAGCCAGATGTGTTCCATCCTACTATTAATTAACTCGGGAATAAATTAAATACTGTACTCTTTCCAACGACTGGTCCTACCCTTGGCTTTTGTTTGGTTTTTGTTTTTTTAATTTATTTATTTGAAAGAGAGAAAGAGAGAGCGAGCACAGGCAGGCAGAGAGGCAGTCAGAGGGGGAGGGGAAGTGGCTCCCCGCCGAGCAGAGAGCCCGATGCGGGGCTCGATTCCAGGACCCTGAGATCATGACCTGAGCCGAAGGCAGCCGCCCAACCGACTGAGCCACCCAGGCGCCCCGGTCCTGCCCTTTGTAACCGGCTTCTCTCTACTGCAGGATTTGGTCGTCCGCATTGTCTTTATTCTCGGCAACTTGACGGCGAAAAATAACCAGGCTCGGGAACAGTTTTCCAAAGAGAGGGGGAGCATCCCGACCCTGCTGGCGTTGTTCCATGCATTCTACAAACTGGACCTGTGTGCGGAGAAGCCGATGGCGGGAGCGGAGGAGCCCCAGACGCCCAGGCCGCGGGCCCAGGCGGAGGACGTGCTCATCAAGCTGACCCGGGTGCTCGCCAACTTAGCCATCCACCCTGGCATCGGCCCTGCGCTGGCCGCCAACCCGCACGCCGTGGGCCTGCTGCTCACCACTCTGGGTAAGGCCCGCGCCGCCGGCCGCTGCCTGCAGGGGACGCAGTCAGGTGGCCCCCCCCTCCCCAGGCGTGGCGACGGTTTCAGCGGCGCGATCTGCTCGCTTGAATGAGCCTTCTCAGCAGCAGGTGGGAAAATTCCTCTTCTGCGCAGAACTGCCTCCAAAGTAACCCAGGTTAAAAAAAATATATATAAATATACACACACATACACACACACATATGTATATATGTATGTATATATGTATGTGTATGTATATATATGTATTAAATATGTTTTAAATATATATATTTAAAATTTAAATTCCACATTAAAAATACATAAAAATATATTTTTCTCATACATATATATATATCTGAAAAGAAGAGAAAAAAAAGTTACTAAAATCCACTGAAGTGTACACCTTGAAAAGGGTTTATCTTATGGTATGTGAATTTTGTCACAATTTAAAAAAAGAAGGTACCAATCAAATTGCCAAAAATTGGCCAAACTAAGCACAGTTTAAAATCCTTCATTTTTCCTGGGTTACTCCACGGGATGAGAGTGTATCTTTTTCTTAGATTTTTTACAGTACCTGTAATTATGGCCCCCAGTCACTCTGCTCCCATTTCTCCCCATTATTCACCACCGCACTCTTCCATAACAAACTACCACAGACTGGGTATCTTGACCCAGAGAAATTTGTTTCTTGTGATTCTGGAGCCTGGAAGCCCAAGGTGGAGGGGCCCGCGGGTGGGGTCTGGGTTGAGAGCTGGGTAGATAGCTGACTTCTCACCAGGTCATCACGTGTGGTTCCTCAGAGCGTGGCCCCAGGGAGAGAGTGGATGATCTCTCTCTTTCTCTTCTTCTAAGACCTCAAATCCGGTCCATCAGATAAGGACTCCACCATTAAGAACTCTTCTCACTTTACCTCCTAAAACCCCTGTCCCCAGTTGCAATGGCATTGGAGGTTAGAGCTTCCACATATGAATTTGGGGGAGGGGACACAATTCAGTCAATAATATTCTGCTCCTGCCCCCCCCCTTGCGAATTCATGTCCTTTTCACACACAAGACACATTTATTCCATTTCAATAACTTCAAAAGTTTTAATTCATTCCAGCATCAACTCTAAAATCTAAGGATCAACATCTCATTTAAATATCTAAATCAGATATTGTGAGACTCAAGATATGGTACATCCTGAGGAAGAATTCCTCTCCTATGAACCTGTGAAACCAGACATGTTACATGCTTCCGAAATACAGGGTTGGGCAGGCCTAGGATAAACATTCCCATTCCAAAGGGAGAAACAGGGAAAAAGGAAAAGATTGCAGTTCCCAGGCAAGTCTGCAAGCTAGCCAGGTGAATGCCGTCGTAGTTTAAGACCTGAAAGCCATCCTCTTTGTTTCAGTGCTCTGCCTTCCAGAACCCCTGGGGCGGGGGTCTGACTTCCACATCTGTCTGTCCAGGTACTGGGGCTCTGCAGGCTGGTCTCATTCTCAAGGCTTCAGGGTGAGGGTGTCTGGCCTGTTGAACCCGAGGCAGGGGCCCTGGTTGTGATCTCTCACCTTTGGGGTCATTTCCACTCTTCTAGAAGAATAATGCCCACTCACAGCCCAATAGCTCCCTCGTCCTGTCCTGTCCCACGCAAGGATAGCCTTCCTGTCTCAGAGCCTTTCCGTTCCAACTGGCAGTGTTTCTGCCCACAGAACCCCAGAAGCTCTGTATTGATTGATATTCCAAATGCACATTTGTTTCCCTCTAGCACATGCTTTTACACTTTTTGCCATAGGGATAGACTGAAAATCTTCCAGATCTTCAGGTTCTACTTCTTTTTGCTTAACAATTCTTTCTTCATCTCTCTCTCCTCACATTTTACTGTAATGTCAGGAGAAGCCAAGCTGCTCCTCAAATACTTTTGCTTTGAGATCTCAGCTCAGTATCCAGTATCGTTGCTTGCAAGTTCTACCTTTCACAAAACACTAGAACGAAAACATAGTTCAGCCAGTTTTTCGCCACATTACAGCAACCATCACCTTTCCCGCAGTTTCCAGGAACCTGTTCCTCCTTTCTTCAGAATGACCTTTTATGTCCATATGTCTACCAACATTCTGTTCATGATTACTGTTGTGGTCCCTAAGAAGACGGAAGCTCTCTCTCCTGCTCTCCTCTTTTCTTTCTGAGCCCTCACCCGAATTGCCTCTAACATTTCTCATTTGTACCATGCACCTCAGAATCCTCCAGCCTCCCGTTATCCCCCAGCTCCAAAGCCGCTGCCACGCTTTTAGGTACTTGGTACAGCAGCAGCCCACTTCATGGTACCAACCCCCATCCCAGTCTGCTCTGATGGCTGTAACAAAAGAGCGTAGACTGGGTGACTTCAACAACAGATTTATTTCCTCACACTCTGGAGACTGGACGTCTGAGATCGGGTGGGCATCATGGCTGGGTTCTGGTGCAGTCTGTCTTCCTGGCTTGAGGATGGCTGCCTTCTGTCTGTGGCCTCACATAGCCTCTGCTGGCATGTGCCCTCGGAGAGCATGTGCTCTCTCTCTCTCTTCCTCTTCCTTTTTTATTTTATTTTATTTTATTTTTTTAAAGATTTTATTTATTTATTTGACAGAGATCACAAGTAGACAGAGAGGTAGGCAGAGAGAGAGGAAGGGAAGCAGGCTCCCTGCTGAGCAGAGAGCCGGATGTGGGGCTCGATCCCAGGACCCTGGGATCATGACCTGAGCCGAAGGCAGAGGCTTTAACCCACTGAGCCACCTAGGCACCCCTTTATTTTTATTTTAATTTTATTTATTTATTTGTCAGAGAGCACATGCAGTGGTTAGGGGGAGCGGTAGGCAGAGGGAGAAGCAGGCTCCTCGCTGAGCAGGGAGCCTGATGCTGGGCTTGATCCCAGGACCCTTAGATCATGATCTGAGCTGAAGGCAGATGCTTAAGTGACTGACCCATGCAGATGTCCCTCTTACTCCTCTTATGAAAGCCACTAGGCTTATTGGATAAGGATTCCACCCTTATGACTTCGTTTAATCTTCATTAATCTTCATTTAATCTTGTATTTCCAAATACAGTTACGTTAGGGCTTCACCAGAAGAACTGGGAGGACATAATTCAGTCTATAGCACCCTTCCACTTTTTAGGCCTTGTCGTTTCCCACAGTCACACCTGCACGCCGGTGTGCAGGGAAATTAACTACCACACAGAGGGATCAACTTAGCTACTACTTACCAGGCTCTGATGGATTTTTTCACTGCAGAAGAAACATTAATACCTGATGAAAATGATGTTTTGGGGTAACCTTTGGACTTGGCCCCCTGCTCTTCATTAAGATCCATTATTGAGTGCTTAGTGCCTAATGAGTCCTATGCTAAAGGAGGTTTATCTTAGTCTGCTCAGGCTCCCGTGTAACAGACCACCACAGACAGGGTGGCTTAAACCACAGACATGTTTTCTCACATCACAGTTCTGGAGGCTGGAAGCCCAAGGTCAAGGTGCCAGCAGGGTTGGCATCTGGCAAGGATGCTCTTTCTGGCTTATAGATGCTCCTTTCCTCCTCTTCTAAGGGCAACAGCCCTATTGGACGAGGGCCCCATTCTGATGACTCATTTAACCCTTCATTACCTCCTCGCGGGCCCTCGCCCCAGATTCAACCACCTTGGGGGTGACTTCACACTGGGGCTCCTCCATATGAACTTGGAGAGGAATACCAACCTTCAGGGCATAGCAAGGCTTAAAAACACATAGTGTCTGCTCTCCAGGAGCTCTGGGTCTACAGTGGAGACGTGGCAGGCATGCGGACAGGAAGCTGATGACAAGCACCGGCCTCCAGGCCAACACAGGATATGTCGAGGACTTGGAGCCCCAGCACTTGTCTATAGACACCAGTCTCTTCGCAGAAGTCTTTGAAAATTAAAACAAAACAAAACAAAAAATGTTTCTAATAAGGACTAGCCCTTTCAGGAAGCTCCCAGATTTAGAGATTTGCTGCCTTAGTGGCCAGCTCCAAATTCTAGACTTTGCTACATCCGAGAGCCAGCTACACAGGGCTCTCTCAAGCCCTCCGGCAGCAAATGCTGGCCCCAGGCAGCTCTACTGGGCACTCAGGAAGAGAGGCAATGGGAAAAACACATGGTTGAGTTAGGCATACCTGGATTCAGATGTGGGTTCTGTGAAGCAAGGTATGTAACACCTCTCAGCCTCAGTGGTCTCATATGTAAAATGGGCATATTAGGAGGTTGATATGGACTGAATTGCACCCACCACTCTCCGGCTCCCAATATTGAAGCTCTAATCCTCAGTGTGATGGTATTTGGAGATGAAACCTTTGGGAGATAATCAGGTGTAGACAAGGTCATGAAGCCAGGGTGCTTGTGGTGGGATTAGCATCCTTCTAAGAAGAGACTCCAGAGAGCTTGCTCTGGCTTTCTCTCTACCACATGAGGATATGGCAAGAAGGTGGCCATCTGCAAGCCAGGAAGGGCTCTCACCGGAACCCAACCACATTGGCAACCACATTGGTGTCCTTCCAACCTCCAGGACTCTGAGAAAAAGAAATTTCTGTTAATTAAGCTTCAAATCTCTGGTATTTTGTTATGGTGGCTGAGCTAAGACAGATGCACCATTGGAGTATGAATTATTATGGGCTCAAATGCTTATAAGTGCATGTAAGGCATTATTTTTGTGGCGCTAAGTGCACGTGCAGCCCTTGGTGCTGTTGTGAGGGATACCTTGTAGCAAGTCCCTCTTGCCTAGATGCCAGACCCTATAGAGAAGGCAGTAACACAGAAGAGCTACGCTTTCTTTTCCTGGACAAGCTAATGAATTCTTCCAAGGCAAGAGAAAAAAATCAGATTCCCGAACACCACCCAAGGTCTAGTGCCATCAGTATGGGGGTGGAGGGAACAAGGACTCCTCAATGGCATTTCTACCTCTGCCGAGAGATGAGTGTGGAAGCTGGGTGAAAGGCAGGGACGGAATGACCAAGGGTCTCCTGTGCAGAGTAAGGGTTCAGTCCTTCACTTGTTGCTGCATTCAGCGACTATTTATTGAGCACTCCTGTGTGCCAGAGTCTGCTCTCGCTGCTGGGAAGACAACAATGAAGAAAACAGACAAATCCCTGGTCTCACATAGCTTCCATTTTAGGACTGGAAGACAAACATTAAACACATAACAGGTCAGATGATTATGTGTGCAATGGAACAGATAAAAGGAGGGTAAGGGAAAAAGAAGACTGGATGCCATTTTATAGAGGGAGGTTAAGGAAACTGTGTTCAATAAGACGACATCTAAACAACGACCTGAAGGATGAGGGGAGTGAAACAAGTGGACACTGGAAACACAGCACATTCTAGACAGAAGCAATAGCGATGCATAGGTTCAGGCAGGATCATGCTGATAGGTTTAAAAAAAGAAGGGGGCGCCTGGGTGGCTCAGTGGGTTAAAGCCTCTGCCTTCGGCTCATGTCATGATCCCAGGGTCCCGGGATCGAGCCCCGTATCGGGCTCTCTGCTCAGCAGGGAGTCTGCTTCCTCCTCTCTGTCTGCCTGCCTCTCTGCCTACTTGTGGTCTATGTCAAATAAATAAATAAAATCTTTTAAAAAAAGGGAGGTGGGGTGGGCAAGAAGACCAGTGTGGTGCAGGTTGGAATAGCAAATGAGGCGTCCGATGTCAGAATTAGGGCTGCCTAGGGGCGCCTGGGTGGCTCAGTCTGTTAAGCATCCAACTCTTGATTTCAGCTCAGGTCATGATCTCGGGATCATGAGATCAAGCCCCACGTCGGGCTCCGCGCTGGGTGTGGAACCTGCTCCAGATCCTTTCTCTTCCTCTCCCTCTGTGCTGCGCCTCCCACAAAAAAAGGAACTGGGGCTGCCCAGGTAGGGCCTGAGGCTCAGGTAGGACAAGTGGTGTTAGCTGACTATTAAAGGATCGTGATAAGGATAGACTCAGGCAGGAAAGTGGGAGAGGAGAAGCCGGGTAAGAGGTGAAGGATGGGCTAGGTGGTAGCAGAGGAGGCGAGAAGTGATCAGGTTCTGTGTGTTTGGAGGACAGGACGATTAGGAGTTATGAACAGATTATGCCCTAAGGGTCATTCTGCTGAGGGGTGGAGGAGTGAGGAACAGACTCGCAGGGTCGCAGCCCCCAGGAAAGCTCAGAACAGTGCAGGTCAGTGGGGGTAAGACGCAGATCAGTGGGGGTGAGACACAGCTCAGCTTGTCCATGTGTTGGCACGTTCACTTGACTATAACCACAGAGCCTAGGTCAGCCTAATTTTTCCAGATGCCCTGACTGGAGGGATTGAGCTTAGAGTGTTCTAGAACCTGGTCAGGAGTGGTCCCCTGTGTTTGGTGCATGTCCCTGCAAGAAGAGTCCTGGAAAGTAAAGCAGTAAGCAAAGCCCCTGCACAGACCCCATCTGGGACAACAACTTGACCCTGGCATGCTGGGGCAGCTAGGAGGTCATGTTTCTGCCCCTACAGTGAATCTTTCATACCCTTTTCCTAACTTTCTTCCAGAATACAAGTCAATTGAGGATTGTGAGGAGCTGGTGATCAATACTACAGCCACAATCAACAACTTATCTTACTACCAAGTGAAGAATTCTGTAATTCAGGACAAAAAGCTATATATTGCTGAATGTAAGGTTCAGAATTGGGTTCGGGCAGATGCATGGTTAAGATTTTGACTTTTTTAATGAAACACAGAACTGGTGTCCTTCCTATTTTCTGATTTCTTGTACAAATATCAAAGAAACTGATTTGTTTCTAAGAATTCAGAATATGGGGGAATGTTAGGATCTTGGTTCTCGCTAAAGTCCCTTATAGTTTGTATTTTATTGTCACTTGAAAATTTTGAGTTATCGGTATTTAGTATGATGCTGATGGCTAATAGCCTTTAAATGAAAAGTTAAATTCAGTGATTTATGTCTCTGGTTCCCAAACCCAGTGCTCATAAAGCTTCTTGTGAGTAATAACATGGATGGAATCCTAGAGGCTGTGCGTGTTTTTGGAAACCTCTCCCAGGACCATGACATCTGCGATTTCATTGTGCAGAAAAATGGTGAGTTAATGACACTTCAGGTTCATAAACATGTTCTTCTTGCCAATAAACAGCTAAGCAGTGTTCAAGCTTGGGTCATGACGATGTGATACTTGTCTCTGCGCTGGGACAAGTAGTGCTTTACATTCTGTTCCATCCGTACTAAAGGCCTTCAGCTCAGTGTGCCAAGATAGATCTGGGCAGTGTTTCTCCCTGTTCCTCTCTCCCTTGTGAGTGCTCTGAGATGGTGTGTGGACGTGTGTGTGTTTAAGGGAAACAGGTCATCCATAGACATCATTATTGTCCCTGAGAATGGACTCAAGAGACAATCTCCTTCATGTACTAGAACATCCCTAACAGTACAGCTTGTAATTGTAAAAAAAATGGAAAGAATTTAAATGTAAATACATTATGATATTCACACAACAAAAAGTTCTATATCGGGGTACCTGAGTAGCTCAGTTGGTTAAGCATCCAAATCTTGATCTCAGCTCAGGTCTTGATCTCAGGGACGTGAGTTCAAGCCCTGTGTTGAGCTTTACCCTGGGCAGGGTAGTCTACTTAAAATAAGAAAGAAAGAAAGTACTACATCAATTAAAATGAATGAACTAGAGATTCACTCAACACAAATTAGCCTCAAACATGTAATACAGGAGTGAAAAAGCCGGTGATAAGAGGGTATATAAAGAATAATACCACTAAATATGTTCTAGAACATACATAACAATCATGAGTATTGCTTATGTACCGTACTTAGTAATGGTATAAGGTACAAATGACATTTGAAAATGGTAAGACAGAAGTCACCTTTGAAGGGGAAGGGATGCCCAAAGATATCAATTGGATCTATAACATTTCTTAAACTGAATGGCAGGTATCCAAGATAACCATCCTCTGTATGTCTCAAATATTTCATGTATGAATAATAACTAAAAATTCCCAATTATCCACAATAGCAAATTTAGATAACACAGATATTACGGGGGAGAAAAAGCAGCAGCAGTAAACTGTCACCCATCATCTCACTCCCCCAGAGAGTATAAACTGTTAATGTTTTGATGTACATTATTTAGACTTTTTTTTAAAAAAAGATCATTTATTTATTTGAGAGAGAGCAAGAGAGAGAGAGAGGCAAGAGTTCGCATGTGCTCGAGATGGGGGAGGGGCATAGGGATAGAGAGAAGCAGAACTCCCCACTGAGCAGGGAGGCCTAAGAGGGACTTGATTCCTGGACACCCCCCACCCCAATCATGACCTGAGCCAAAGGCTGGGACTCTGAGGATCATGACCTGAGCCGAAGGCAGATGCTTCACCAGCTGAGCCACCCAGGCGCCCCCATTCTTCAGACTCTTAAACACAGGCATAGATGTGTCTGACAATCCCTGGGACCAAAGTCAGAGCAGGATGGCCACCTGTCAGGTGTGGGGGCAAACAGAAGGCAGCAGAACACACACTTTATCCAACCTTGCCCAACCCTTTGCCCGACCCCTGCGGGGGCTGTTAAGACAACAGGACGAGGAGTTCCATTTCCTGGAAGTAAAGGAAAGTGGTTCCCAAAGTTAGGGGGCCTGTCTTGATCTGAGCCGCCCCCAGCCCTGACAGTCCTGCTTTGCTACAGGCCAGTTTCCAGCCCCCGAGCAAGTTTTCTCTTACAAACCCTGGAAGACTTTAGAGAGGATCTCAATGGGAGAGCCCCCCCCCTCCTCCCCTGAGGTTGTGTATTTCAAGAAAATTGCGGGTGGTCATTCAAAAGGGCTCTTGAGAAGAATCAGGTGTTAGAGATGAATGTCACCTGTGTGGTTGGACCCAAGATTTTTTTTTTTTTCCCCTTTTCTACCAGAAGGGACAGTATCACTGCCCTGGAGAGGGAGCTGCTATCTAGGTCAGAGACAGAACTACGTGGGCACCAAGGACTTGCGGGTTGGGGAGCAAGTTCTAGATGCAGTGGGTGTTGGTGAACCTGCAGCTGGGCATGGCGAGAAAGCTTTAGAAGAATGGATTAAATCCCCTAGCAGAGTTTCCAGTTTAGTGAGCCAGTCCCCATCTTCCCCTTTTCCTTTTTCCAAAATAAGGCACCCTAAGCTGGGAACCCTAAGCTTTATTGCTCCGCATTTGTTCTCTGCCCTCCCAGTTCACAAGTTCATGATTGCCCTGCTGGATGCCAAGCATCAGGATATTTGCTTTTCTGCCTGTGGCGTTCTCCTAAATCTCACTGTGGATAAAGAAAAGCGTGCCATCCTAAAAGAAGGAGGGGGCATTAAAAAGTAAGTTTCAAGGCATGGAGTCCTGACTCTCTCACAGTTTCCCCAGGGAGCTTGGGCCCCTCTTGTGCTTCTCCTGGCGTGGAGGTCTTTCAACGTTTGGAACTGCCAAGCTACTACCTAAGAGGGAATTTAGGTTCCCCTGGACCCTTAAAATAATTCAAAAGTTGGTTGTTGCTACTTTGTAGCTGCTTAAATTTGTAGATGTGGAATTTTTAAAACTAATCACTAAATTACATATACATATTAAATAATACAGAAAGAGTATCGTTGTTATGCTGAAAATATAAAAGAGATTCTGACCTAATGACTTCTCAATTTGACTTTTCTTAAACTCAGGTTGGTGAATTGTTTAAGACATTTTGGTCCCACCGATTGGCAGCTGGCCTGCTTGGTTTGCAAAACTTTATGGAACTTCAGTGAAAATATCACCAATGCTTCATCGTGTTTTGGAGATGAGGACACCAACACGCTCTTAGTCCTGCTGCCATCATTTTTAGGTAAGACTGTGAGTCTGTGAGTTTTATCAGAGTAAGAATTTTTTTTTTCTGTGACCTGTATGAATAAAGATTGGTATGTGTTTGAGTAGCTGTGTAAATTTGGAGATATCTGGAAGAGGCTGAGTGTTATTTACAGTGGGGACACAAGGACTTTTAACTCCTTGGACACTGTCATGATTTCTGCAGCATTTTCCCTTTTTTTTTTTTGTTTTTTGCATTTTTTATAGACTACCTAAATCCAAGATTTCAGCCTAAAGTATTGCTGTTGCTTAAAAATATATAGATGTTTTAATTGAGAAAATAAGGCTAAAAGCTACTCTGAATTGTCATGATTTTAATGTACCTACGCATTTTATTTATTTTTAAACACTTATTTATTTATTTTGAGAGAGAGTGTGTGAGAGAGTGAGCACTGGGGGTCAGGAGGGACAGAGGGAGAGGGAGAAAGAGAATCTTAAGCAGACTCCCCGATAAGCAGGGAGCCCTCACAAAGGGCTTGACCTCAAGACCCTGAGATCATGACCTGAGCTGAAACCAAGAGTCTGAAGCTTAACTGACTGAACCACTCAGGTGCCTCAGGATCCACATATTTTAATTAGCAACTATATTAATTATAATGTGGAGGAGCATCTGTGAAACTATTTTGACATTGCAGTGGGGTTCAGACCACTGAAAGGCAAGAAATCCCTGATACAAACTAAATGAAAGAGGATAGTTTCTTAACTTAAAAAAAAAAGTTCTTTAGGAGATTTTTTTTCATCCTGGGTTATGTCTAAAAACAATGATTTGAGTAAGTAAATGAGCATTTTCAATAATCCTTTCCCCCAAATGGAGGCAATGTCCCCACCACTGCCCAGCCACTGTGTGGGATCAGCAAGGCCACGTGGAAAGGCTCAGTGTGACTTAGCAGTCATGGATTCAAATCCTCGTGCTCTCTTATGGTGTGATTTGACGAGGGAATTTCAGGACCTGTCTTTTCATCTCAATGATCGTGACATGGTAATCCCTGCCGCCCTCTAGCCAATAGCGAGCCTCAATTAGGCCTCTGTGCGCATCATGAAAAGACCAGACGACCACAGCTGGACAGTTCTGAGTTTAAAACCTTGCTTTTGGCCCTTCTAAGTTGTTGGTGTTGGGCTTAACCTCCCTACATGTATCTTTTCTCATCGCTAAGCTAGGGACAATTGATGGACACTTTGCAGAGTTATGAGAATGGTGAGAGGAGACTTGTGCAGAGAGCCTGGTACAGTCCAGACTCGGGGGTTTATAAATTCCAAGTGTTGTAACAAAGTTACTAAACAGGAACTCAGAACCAGAAGTTACCTGAAAGACTGGGGATGGCTGAGCAGATGTGCAATTTGCTTTTTTGCGGCAAAAATAATCTTGCATGTGTAGAAGTAAGAAAAAAATGAGCATGGTTTTAAATGATTGAGGTTCACAGGGTGCTTTGTGAACGTGGAGCTTTCCCAGGTTGCCAGGAGCAGAGGGCTGTGCTCAACTTGCCTTAATTCGGTTCTCAGGTGTGGTAGAACATTGGAATCAAATGTGGAATTTAAAAAACACACTGACCCCATCCCCAGAAATTCTGACTTAGGAACTCTGGGGTGAGGCTCGTTATCTGCATTTTTTGCAAAGTTCCACAGGTGAATTTGCTCTGAGGCCAAGCTTGAGAACCCTTACCCTGGTTAATGAAGGACTTTAAGGGAAGGGTGCACCTTGCCCAAAGCCTGCTGGAGAGGCACTGGAAGGATGTTCTGGATGAAGCCAGAGTCCCTGATTGACCCCTTCGGTAGCAGGCCAACATTTCTCCACCAAGCTGGAGATGCCTCTCTGCTCTGTCTCTGCTGTTATGCAAAAAGTTCCCGTAGGCTCCCGCTTGGTCCTGGCTTCAACTAGGTCAAGGCTGCTGCTTGCTGCCCTCAGCGTGAGTCTCCTCTGCTCTTGGCTCACTCTTTGTCTCCCATTTCGGGGAAGAGGTGTGATTGGTTCCGTGCATCATTCCCTCGGGTTTAGGGCCTTCCGGGTTTAGCCGCCTCTATCAGAGACTATCTCTGGCTTGGTTTGGCACTTAGGTCGGGGCTGTTGACTATAAATAGCAAAATCGCTAGGCCATGGGACACAAAGGCCCCTTTGAAGAGGTATGGGCATGACCAGCTCCTCAGCAGGTACGGAACCTGGCAGGCGCTTCTTTCTAGTAGGCCTAGTGTCTGCTCCCCCCTCCCTCAACCTTCCCTTAGAACCGGGTTGGGCCTCTCCTTGTGCTTCCCCAGCCTCTGAGCCTTTGCGGGTGCCGTACCCCTTACCTGCCTAGCCATGTGCTGTCTATCCAGGCAGACCCTTCCCGAATCCCTTTTCAAGCCCATGGCCTGGTCCTAGGAAATCCGTACTTCTTCAATAGCAATATGAACCGTGTAACTTATCCTGTATTATTATTTTGTAACTTTTATCTTGTTTCCCCAATCCATTTGAGCAACTTTGGGGAAAGGATATTGCCTCCTACGAAAGAGGTCCTTGATAGATGTCTGTGGACTGGCTAACTTTCTAAATCCCCTACTGCCAGCCACTCCCCCAGCCCCTGGGAGGGGACTGTGGCTGGATGACAGAAATAAAGCCGGTTGATCAGGGAGTGGAGTAACTGGCACCATGTGTCAGTGAATCCTCACCTGATCGCCAGACCCTCCTTATAAAACCTAAGGACTGGGCTCCTTCCTGCTTTCTCCCCTCACAGACCCTCACTTCCGACAGGGCTGTAGCTGTGTCTGACCAGCTGGGCAGCAGCAAGTCCTGCGGATGGGGGGTGAGAGTAGGCTTGAGTTTCAGTTCCTTCCCAAAGATGGCTGAAAAGCCGGCCATTTTGAAAACAGGACCAGCCGTTACATCGCTGAGCCCCGTGCCAAAGTGTGAGCACTGTTTTTAGAAATGATGACAAGGTAATCAATATAGAAATGTAAGTCATCGACTTTTTCTTGATGGGTGACTGAGAGGGGAAAAAGGAGAAACTGATGGTCCTCAGCACGGTTGGGGCATGGGGATGTTGATGTTGTTTTTGGAAAGTGGCTTAAAAAGTATGTTGTCTAAAACTTTCTGATGGATTGCAGCCACTTCTTACGAACTCATCAGCAGTGTCTTTATCTTGAAGTTCTTAAGTGGCGTACCCTGGCGTGCTGGTCTACCCTGGGCTGTTTTCCCGGGAGCTGGTCATGTGCGTGTGTGTGTGAGGGGGGGGTGCTGTTTATTGTGAATGTAAAGGACACAGGTTGCATTTTGTTCATTATGAGGTATATACCACTTAGCACCTGGATTACGGGATAAGAGGTAGAGTGGGGCCCCGTGTTCAAGTTGAAGGATCACCTTAAAGGGGCTCCTGGCTGGCTCAGTCGAGTGGAGCATCCAACTCTTGATCTTGTGGTTGTGAGTTTGAGCCCCACACTGGGTATAGAGATTACTTAAAAAGATAAATTTCTAAAAATACAAGAAAAAAGAAAAAAAGGATCACATTAACAAGCCCACGCCAAACAGCATGCATCATGAGGGCTGTGCCTTATAATAGGGCAATAATTAACCCTCAGTAGCTACCTTGTGCTGAGCCCCAGCTGGAAGATCGTGCAGTGAGTAGGAGAAGCTTTTATTGGTGGTGCAGGATACGTAAGCGATATTCGGGACTGTGCTATAACGATCACTGAGAAACTTATTGTTTTGACTTCCCTGCCCCTTTGTAAACCTTTCAAACATCTTGACTCAAATCCTAGTATTAGAAGTATGCGGTACACGAAGAAAGCTTAAGAATGATTGGTTATCTAAACCCGTGCTCTTCACACTGTGTCCAGCATCTTTAAAAAATGAGGTCACAAAGAAAGAAAATACCAGAATCTATCCCATGTAGCAAAGCAAAGTATTCTACGGTGAAACCGTTGTTATTTGTACATAAGTTGGTAAGTCACCATGTACAGTCATGACCTGTGTACTTTTTAGGTCCCAGGCCAGAGTTTGAGAATCACAGATCTCAACTGTTCTTGAATTCATCTCTGCCATTTTTTTGTTGTTTGTTTGTTTGTTTTTGTTTTTTGGGGTTTTTAAAAAAGATTTATTTATTTATTCGAGAGTGAGAGCATGAGAGGGGGAAGGTCAGAGAGAGAGAAGCAGACTCCCTGCTGAGCAGGGAGCCCGATGCGGGACTCGATCTTGGGACTCCAGGACCATGACCTGAGCCAAAGATAGCTGCTTCATCAACTGAGCCACACAGGCGTTGTGTCATAGGGCACTTTTTTTTTTTTTTAGGTATTTGCTGTATTTACTTTCAAACTGCAGACTGCCTTCCTCTTACCCGTAGCTCTTTGGCCCCTTTTGTTATCTTGTTTTAACTCATTTTACAAAGTAATAGGGTTTGAGTGTGGATTAACTAATCCGAGGCCAAACCTCAAGAAAAATAACAGTCTTGACCTAAGATTGAAAAAAGCCCCAAAACACCCAATCGAGGTTTACTAAACCTACTAACCCTAACCAAAGCCCCAGCAGAGAAGGGAACTGCCCAGTGCTTGGGCAGCCACTGGCCCTGAGCCTCTTGAATAAGAGATTTCACGGTCTAATAGCAGTCTGCTCAGAAAGCCTGGAAAAGAGCGAGCCAGGAGATGTTCTAGAAGTCTGAAACTGCCATGTCTCTCCGGCTCCTCTTGGCTGGAAGGAGCCCAGTGGGAAGGGATTCGAAGGCATCGAACGCCGGTTTCTTTCTCCTCTCCGGGCCCTGGTTGGCGTGTGGCTGGGGAAATCCGGGCCTCCGTGGAGCACCTTGTGGGACTGTTTATGTCTGTGCAGAACTTATCTCAGTGCTGCAGAGCTGGCCTCTCGTTCGGAGGACAGGAGGGGAGAGGACAAATATGGATTCAGGTCCCCTTATCTTACTCTGAGGGCCGATGCTAACACCAACCACGCCGCAATACGCAGGGTCAAGGAAAACATCCAGTGCAGAAAATTTGATGTCAACAGTAATGAAGCATTTTATAATGGATTTTCATTGGCCCCGTGGAAAAAAAGTTTGCTGGTTATGTAAGAAGCACTAATTGTGGTCACTTTCGGGCTTAGTGGTTCTCACTCGCAAAGTCGGCTGCGGCCACAGACCTCGGAAGTAGAAGTGCCAATCTTCTGACCTGCAGGCCCGGGTATTTTCCTAAAATCCTTCCCATGGGGTGTGAAGCCGAATAAAAACAAGTAAACATGCTGTGGCCGGTTGGCACGGAAACCTTTGTGGCCACTTATCTTCCTATTTGGGTTGGATATACTTACGGCATTGGCAGAACTCAGGGTGCCCTTGGACTAAGAAGCAAATTAAGGTTGTAATTTTGCTTTTTTTTTTTTTTAACTAATGCTTTTTGCATTATACATAGAGTGACTTGGGATTCTAATACTCCCTGGGATTCTCAAAGTCTCATACTCTTTGCCGTTACTGGCAAGGGCATGGGGGATTCCCTTTCGGTACAACACACTGGGGCTACTTCGAAGCTGCAACCTTGATTTTCTTCAAGTCAAGTTTACAGCATCAAATTCAACTGTGCTACTTTCCCAAAAGATTTCCTGACTCCTTTTATATCTGTGGATCACTAAAGTAATTAACTTTTCTAATGCCCGGATAAAGAAGGAACTATTAATATTTTGCCTCTTCTGAGAAATTGTGATCTGACTTTTGGATATGCCCTTACATCAAAACACTTAGGGATTAGTTAAAATAAGAGCTCAATTCAATCTAGGCTTTTTTTCTTTTGAGAAGATTATTGTCCTTTTTATTAAGAGATTACGAATATTTTAAAATAAGTATAGTTCAAAGTGCCAAAGAGAGTAAAGAACTCCTTCTTTTAAAAAAATCTTTTTTGGTGGGGGGGAACGCCCGGGTGGTTCAGTTTGTTAAGTGGCTGCCTTCTGCTCAAGTTATGATCCCAGGATTCTGGGATCGAGTCCTGCATCTAGCTCCTGGCTCACCAAAGAGCCTGCCTCTCCCTCTCCTTCTGCCTGCTGCTCTCCCTGCTTGTACTCTCTCTCTCTCTCTATCTCTGTGTGTGTCAAATGAATAAATAAAATCTTTAAAACAAAACAAAACCATTTTAACCCCCCCAAATCATATCTGTGTCATCTTGGAATCAGAGGTGACCCAGGATGAGTTTAACGTAGGCCAACAAAAATTAAACTTTCCCCAGTAGGGTGACACTTTCAAATAATCTCTGTAATTTTAATTTTTCCGATACAGATGAAGAACTAGCACTGGATGGCAGTTTTGACCAAGACCTAAAAAGCTATCACAAACTCCAGTGGGAAACAGAATTCAAACCTGTGGCACAGCAGCTTCTAAACCGAATTCAGAGTCATCACACTTTCCTGGAACCCCTGTCTGTTCCTTCTTTCTAACACGACGCAGCTTCACAGAAACAGGAAGTCAGGTCTCCTTCATTCTTAAGCAGTGGTAACAAGCACAAACATTTGTTTCTTGGTATTGACAAATACTGAAAGTTTTTCAGATACTGATTAGGGAGTAGTCTAAGGTTTTTAGAAGAAAGAAGCAATTTTTTTTCTCATTAGGTATTATGGAAAAATGAACATAAATGTACTTTCTGTTATGAGAAATGTAAGATGAAAATATATCCATGGGTTTTCTAAGTAAATGACTTTTTCTTCTGTTCTCTAGTCAGTACTTCAGTTCTAATCTTAAAATCCCGACTGAACAATTCTTGAAGTGTTTATCTGTTCTGTAGTTAAGTGAGCTGTGCAATGAAATTAGATTTTTGTATATAGGAGGAATGGTGGTCAATGCTATGAGGAACACATTCCTACATAAACATCCATACTAATTCTTGTATCCTCTAAGAATAACTTTCTGGTTATGACTAGTATTTTTCTGGTTCTCCAATTAAGAGCAAGAGTAAGCCAGAACATTTAGAAAAGACTTCTTTGGGCAATAAATAAATAAGTAAATAAATAAGTAAAATAGATGGGAAAGGGAGTATTTTAGCTCTTTCTTCTCACTTGAAATAAAATGACTAGACCAGATAGTCCTTCTAATTGTAAATTTCTGGGACTAAGAGGTGACGTAATGTCCTATCAAAGGGACTAAGCTCAGGCATATGGCAGAGCTCAGTTTGAATCCTAGTTATCTCCTGCTTCGGCCTTGGGCAAGCAGCTTAATTTCTTTAGCTTCAACTGTAAAATAAGAATAGTTGATTATAGTTCAGTTTGGAAAAAAAACATTAAATGGGCAAATTGCCTAGTACAGTGTCTGATGTGGTTAGTAGGTGCCCAATGAATGATAACATTAGGACGGTAATGAGTTTATTAGTCTGCCATTCTTTGCAGGGTAAGTTTGGCCTTTGAATGTATGACAAAAGCCAAAGAAACTGAGATGGCCATTATCCTATATTAGCCAAGTGAGGATTTGGAAATAAAAGGAGATGTACTACTCTGCTTGGAGAAAAGCTGTTATTAATGGCTCCTCACCTTACAAAATGCCAAAACAAATGGGAAGAAAGCAGATACCCCAGACCGAAGCCCGGAATGGCTTTCAAAGGCCATTAGAAAATACCTAAATTTCCAGGAAGAAATAAACTTTCCTAGGGCCCTTCTAATCTAGGGCTTGTCTCTGACAAGGGCTCAGCACAATCCCATGGGGCCATGCCTTATTGTAGAGTGTGATGGGCTCATCTCTCAAAACCATTTAAGGATCTAAGTCTTTAAAAAATTTTTTTAAATTTTTTATCTATATCAGATTATATATTCTACTTTCAATGAAAAGATTAAACTATTTCCCTTGCTAACATGGCCCCCTCAGTATTTATAACTAATCTAATAACTCATGGTGGAATACCACTATATAACTCAACATAGACTCAACTTCAGACTCACGCAAGCCGGACCTCTTGGAGTCAGCTATCTGCCTCCCCCACCTTTAAAGATTTTATTTTTTAAGTGATCTCTACATTGAACATGCGACTTGAACTCACAACCCCAGGCTCAGGAGTTGTATGTTCTACTGACTGAGCCAGCCAGGCACCCCTGCCTTTTTGAAAAAGGGTTAAAGAACACATAACATAAAATTGACCATACTATTTTCAAGTGTACAGTTCAGCTATGTTAGGTATAGTCACATTGCTCTGCAATAGAACTCTAGAATTTTTTCATCTTGCAAAACTAAAACTCTATATCTGTTTTAAAAAAAAATCCCCATATCTTCTCCCCCCACCCCAGCTCCTAGCAACCATCATTCTACTTTAATTCTATGAATTTGATTAGTTCAGATACCTCCCGTAAGTGGAATTTGTCTCTCTGTACTGGCTTATATCACTTAGTATAGTGTCCTCCAAGTCTGTCCATGTTGAAGCATGAGACCGGATGTTTTTCCTTTTTAAAGCTGAATAATATTTCCTTGTATGTACATCTCATATTTTGTTTATCCAGTCGTCGATCAATGGGCATTTGGGTTGCTTCTGCCTCATGGTTATTGTGAATCATGCTGCCTTGAACATGGCATGTAAAATTCTTTGAGATCCTGCTTTGAATTATTTTGGGTATACATCCGGAAGTGGAACTAGTGGATCATATAGTGGTTCTATTTTTAATTTGGGGGGGGATATCTATACTGTTTCCCATGGAGACTGCACTGTCTTATATTACCACCAGCAGTGCACAAAGATTTGAATTTCTTCACATCTTTGCCAACACCTGTTATTTATGTTTTTTATAGTCGTCATCATAAGAGGCGTAAAGTGGTATCTCATTGAGGTTTTGATTTACATTTCTCTATTAGTGATGCTGAATATCTTTTCATATGTTTGTTGACTGTTTGTGTGTCATCCCTGGATTAATGTCCATTCAAGCCCCTTGCCCATTTCTCAGTTTGGTCTGAGTTTTTTATTGTTGAGTTGAAGGAGTTCTTTATATATTCAGGGAATTAACCCCTTATCAGGTAGGTATGTAATTTGCAAATATTTTCTCCCATTCCATAGGTTGCCTTTTCATTCTGTTGATTGCGCCCTTCCATGCACAGAAGGCTTTTTTTTTTTAAGTAATCTCTATGCCCAACATGGGGCTCGAACTCATGACCCAGAAATCAAGAGTTGCATGTTCTACCAACTGAGCTAGCCAGCCCCCTATGGATGCACAGAAGTTTTGGAGTTTGATGTCATTCTGTTTGTCTATTTTTTTTTTTACCTTTGCTTTTGGTGCTATATCCAATAAATCATTGACAAATCCAATGTCTTGAGGCTTTTCCTGTGTTTTCTCCTAGGAATTTTATAGTTTCAGTTCCTACATTTAGGTCCTTAATCCGTTTTAGTTGATTTTTGTATATGATGTAAGGTAAGAGTCTAACTTCATTCTTTTGCATGTGGATATCTAGTTTTCCCAGCATCATTTGTTGAAGTGCAGTTACTTCCTCATTGAACATTCCTGGCACCCTTGTCCATCATTTGGCTATTTGCATGAAGGTTCATTTCTGGGCTTTCTGTTCTATTCCAGTGCTCTATATGTCCTTTTTTTTTTTTTTTTTTCTATATGTCTGTCTTTATGTCAGTACCACACTGTTTCAATTACTGTAGCATTGTAATATGTTTTGAAATCAGGCCATGTGAGACTTCCATCATTTTTTTTTTTAATGGAAGTATAGTTGACCTACAATATTATGTTAGTTTCAGGTATACAACATAATGATTCAGCAATCTGCATTATGAGATGCTCACCAAAGGAAGTTATCATCTGTCACCATACAAAGTTATAACCCTATTGACTATATTTCCTAATGCTCTACTTTTCATTCCCATGACTTCTTTAGAACTAGTTTGTACCTCTTAATCCCCCTTTTTAAAAGATGTGTTTATTAGAGAGAGAGCACGTGTATGTGAGTGGGGAGGGGCAGAGAAGGAGAGGGAGAGGAAGAGAATTTCAAGACTGTGCTGAACATGGAGCCTGACACAGGGCTTGATCCCACAATCCTGAGATCATGACATGAACCGAAACCAAGAGTTGGTACACTTAACCAACCAAGCTACCTAGGCAGCCCCCTCTTAATCCCTTTCATCTGTCTTGCTCATCCCCCCATGCCCTCAACTCTGGCAGGTACCAGATTATTCTCTGTATTTTTTAGTCTCCTTCTGTTTTTATTTGTTTATTCATTTGTTTTTAAGATTCCATATATAAGTGAAATCATGCAGTATTTGTCTTTCTCTGATTTATTTCACTTAGCATACTACCCTGTTTGTCCATCCATGTTGTTGCAAATGGCAAGATTTCATTTTTTATAGCCACATAATATTCCATTATGTGCATGTATACCACAAATTCTTCATCCATTCATCTCTCAGTGGATGCTTACATTGCTTCCATAACTTGGCTATTGTGAAAAATGCTGCTGCAATGAGCATAAGGTTGCATATATCTTTTCAAATTAGGGTTTTCCATTTCTTTGAGTAAATACCCAGTAGTGGAATTACTTGATTATATAGCATTTCTATTTTTAAATTTTTAAGGAACCTGCATACTGCTTTCCATAGTGGCTTCACTAATTTACATTCCCACCAACAGTGCAGGAGGGTTTCCTTTTCTCGCCATCTTTGCCAACACTTGTTAGTTCTTGTCCTTTTGATAGTAGCAGTTCTGAGTGGTGTGAGATGATCTCTCATTGTGGTTTTGATTTGCATTTCCCTGATTAGTAATGTTGAGAATCTTTTCATGTGTCTGTATGTCCATTCTTTGGGAAGATGTCTATTCAGGTCTTCTGCCCATTTTAAAATTAGATTCTTTGGGTTTTTTTGGTTTTGAGTTGAGTTCTTTATATATTTTGGGTATTAACTCCATATTGGACATATCATTTGCAAGTAGCTTCCCCAGTCAGTAGGTCGACTTTTCATTTTGTGCACTGTTGCCTTCACTGTGCAAAAGCCTTTTAGTTTGACATAGTCCAAAAGTTTATTTTTGCTTTTGTTTCTTTTGCCTGAAGAGACTGATCCAAAAATCAGTTTCTAAGACTGATGTTCGTGAGTTTACTGCCTATATTTTCTTTTAGGAGTTTTATGGTCCCAGATCTTACATTTAGGTCTTTAATCCATCTTATTTTTTCTGTATGGTATAAGAAAATGATCCAGTTTCATTCTTTTGCATGTTGCTGTCCAGTTTTCCCAACACCATTTATTGAAGAGACTGTTCTTTCCCCATTGTGTATTCTTGCCTCCTTTGTCATAGATGAATTGACCATTTAAGTATGAGCTTATTTCTGGGTTCTCTCTTCTCTGTTGATCTATGTTTCTGTTTTTGTGCCAGAAACATACTGTTCTGATTACTTTGTAGTGTAGTTTGAATCTGAAGTTGTGATATCTTTAGCTTTGTTCTTCACAAGATTGATTTGGCGATTTGGGATCTTTTGTGGTTCCATACAGTTTTCAGATTATTTCTTCTAGGTGTGTGAAAATACTAATGGTATTTTGATAGAAATTGCACTGAATATGTAGATTACTTTGGGTAGCATAGGTCTTTTAATAATATTTTCCTGTTTATGAGCATGGTATATTTTTCCATTTATTTGTATTGCCTTCAATTTTTTTCATCTATGTCCTACAGTTTTCAAAGTACATATCTTTTGCCTAGGTATTTTATTCTTTTTGATGCAATTGTAAATAGGATTGCTTTCTTAATTTTTCTTTCTGCTAGTTATTAGTGTATAGCAATGCAATAGATTTTTGCATATTAATTTTGTATCTTGAAATTTTACTGAACTTATTTATTAGTTCTAAAAGGTTTTTGGTGTCGTCTTTAGGATTTTCTATATATGGTATCCCGTCATCTGCAAATAGTGATAGTTTTACCAATCTTACCTTACCAATGAGGGTGCCTTTTATTTGTTGTCTGACTGCTGTGGCTATGACTTCCAATAGTATATTGATTGAAAGTGGTGAAATTGAAAATCCTTGTTCCTGATCTGAGAGGAAAAGGTTTCCATTTTTCACCTTTGAGTAACTTAGCTGTGGGTCTGTCATATATGGCCTTCATTATCTTTAGGTATATTCCCTCTACACCCTCTTTGTTGAGAGTTTTTAATCATGAACAGTTTTGTCAAATGTTTTTTATCCTTCATTTTCTTAATGTGATGTATCATGTTGATTTGCTGATAGATATTGAATAACCTTGCATCCCTGAGATAAATTCCACTTGATGGTGATAAGTAACCCTTTAAATGTATTTTTGAATTCAGTTCGCTAAGATTTTGCTGAAGATTTTTGCATCTATGTTCATCAGAGATATTGGTCTGTAATTTTCTTTTTTTGTGGTGTCATTGTCTGGTTTTGGTATCAGAGTAATGCTGGCCTTATAGAATGAATCTGAAGCATTCCTTCTTGTATTTTTTTGGAATAGTTTGAGGATAGGTATTAGCCACCTTTAAATGTTTGGTAGAATTCACCTGTGAAGCCATTTGGTTCTGGACTTCTTTTTGTTGGGGGTTATTTATTACTGACTAGTAAATAGTAATCAGTTTGATCAAATTATCTATTTCTCCTTGATTCTGTCTTGGAATATTGCATTTCCAGGAATTTATCCATGTCTACTAGTTTGTGCAGTCTGTTGGCCTATAATTTTTCATAATAGTCTCTAATTATCCTTTGTATTTCTGTGGTGTCAGTTGTAAATTCTTTTTTCTGATTTTAGTTTTGAGTCCTCTCATTTTTTTTTAAAGATTTCATTTATTTATTTG